ATGAATTTACTTTGGTGCCTTGATGGTTGATTAGCAACAGATTTTATAGGCCAGTATTACTTTAAAAAAAATAAAAAAAATTGCTTCAAGGTAAGTGCTAGAAAGCTGTAGAGTAGCTTCAAAGCTTCTGGCTGTGTCTGAATTGAGACTACCTTCTTGACTGCATATAGCTGATAAATGTCTGCTGTGGTGTTTCACTGGCAGGCAGGCGAAATAACTTCTGAAAAGCAAGTTAGGTGCTGTTGAGCTCACTGTATGCTGGAGTACTGTGAGAGTTACTTAGTAGACTTGCCTCTGGGTGGAGTAGATTCTGCAGCTGTGTTTTTTAGAAGACTTTCTTGATAGGATGTGCTCTGGCCACCCTTGCCCCAGCTCTCTTCTCTGCCTGCGAGGTTGCATATAGCTGAAGTAATGTGACCATGCTGCTCCCGTTTGCCTTCCATTTTTTCCTCTTTTCTTTCCTAACAGTGGATTTTTATTGACTTTGCACATAAAAAAGAATAAAAATAGAAAAAGATTGCACGATACTCTCCTGTTAGCTCTGTGACGCGCTGTAACTTCAGTTGCCTGTTTGCAGTTTTTCCAAGAGGCACTCGCTGTCATGAAATGTCTCAGGACTCTCACAGCAGAGATCTGTTCCAAGGTCTGACCTGGGGGGAGCTCAGCTGTATGAAGGTCAGTAACTGCTGTGATGGCTTGTTTTACTTTAAGCTGTATTACACTATAGTGTGCTGTAATGACCAGCCTGCAGCAGCTTTTTGTTTTTAACCATGACTGAGTAATGGCAGGTTTAACACTATCTAGCTTGTGGAGTATTGCATATTGCTTTCTTTACAATAAATGCAGCTGTTATAATGCTGTAATATGTCTTCAGTCTGATCTCTACGTAATCTGTGTTGAAGTTCTTTAAACAGAGGAGACTGCAGGTATCTGCATATGCATGCTGTTAAGATGATATGCGCTATCAGAAGTAGTAGAAAGTAATTTACCATGTTTTCTAGTGGTATGGTCAATTAGTGCACAAGATTTTATATTTCTATAAAGACATTATTTTCATTATGTAGTATTCAGTACTAGCTGTTCATGTTAACCTACACTGGGGGAACAGGGAGGACAGCCTGGCTGTACCAGCCGACTGGGAGACCAAGGCATTGCAGAAAGGGCTCCCAAGATAGAGCACTCAGCATTCAAAACTCCTGCAGGAAAGCTTCAGCCAGGCTTCAGGGGCTCTTTCTCTCAGTTTGCTTCTCGTCTGGTGGCATGAGAGGCAGATGATGACCTATTGGCAGTGGTTGCTAGTGCAACAAGCCTGGTTTTGGTCCTTCGCAGGGTGTTTTGCATAGGTTTTTGCAAACAGGAAACAACTGTGAAGTAATGCAATAAGTAGCTGCATCATGTTTGTGTACATACAAAGCAGCAGCTATTAGGCTGTGGTTCTCTTTAGAGACGTTTCTCGTAATACTAATGTGTCTGGTCCAGCATCTGCTTTCATTAAAATGGTTGAGGCTGAATTACATTATGGAAGTGTGCATATGAGAAGTGGATTAGGCTAGAACTTTTCGATGAGAGCATCAGAGCACCCACCACCTCTTTTGCAAGCCCTCTGAACTTAATGTTTTTCTTTTTTTTCTTTTTAAGCTGTTAGCAATCATGCAAACCTGAAATGGGAAGCATTAAATTAAGTAACTTCGATGTGCATACAGGAAACACACAACAGAGCTGCTTAAAATAATTTATTTGCCAAAATGACAGACTGTTAGAATTTTTATTGTCTTTTTCCAAACTAAACCATTCCCAGAAGAGATTAATTTCCAAATGCCAGGTAGGAGTAGTAGTATTAAGTTACTCTGATTGCCATGCTTCAATGTGAATTTTAGTAGAAACCTGTATCATTTATTGTAGCACTAAAAACATCTCACCTACCATATTCTTACCAGGAATAGTGTAATAAGTGACAAAATCGTATTTTGTTGCTGCACTCAAGTTATTTTAATATTGGGTTTCTATTTTTTTTCCACTGTAGATTTAAAATAGTCTGCAAAAAGCAGGGGTCCATCAACTGTACACTGCATTGGCAGTGCAGGCTGTGGTGAGGAGGAAACCAGCATCAGGTGGCCCAGCCCTCCCAATGCTGACAGGCCCCACACCTGCTGACTGTGCACTAAAACATGAGCAAACTCAGGGACTTCAGGCTCAGTTCTGCCTTCCCACCCCCAGGAAAAAAAATATAAATAGTACAACATATCTTTTACTCTGGTGTCTTAAAATTCATGTCTTCACAGCACAAGGTTATTTACATATGTTTTTAAAAAGCCTTCAAAGTGTTTATTTTAAATAGCAGCTTCAAAGCCAAAACAAGGCATAAATGCCTTGCAGGCCAACTTTAAGGCCATAAATCAACAACAGGCAGATTAATGGGGGGGATGAGGAGGGAGTGCAGTGTAATTAATTAGCAAATAAGTTTTACTAGTTAGTTTAAAGAGAGGGAAAGAAAGAAAAAACAAGATGAAAAACTAAGTTCATTTTTCCCTGCACAGATTTACAAAACATACTGTCAGGTGTATCTGAAACAATGCATCAATGTAACTATCACCCCTTTATTTTCCAGTAGCTCCTGTGACTTCAAGCCACAGACACATGAGGAATCAAGTTCTGCAGGTTAACCTGGCCAGAAATGTCTAGTTTTCTAAGTGAAATTAATTACTGTTCCCAAAGTAATGCTCCACAGGGAAACACAGAGACACAGTGAAGTCATGTGGGCTGATGACTTTAAAAAAACAAGCAAACAAATAAAAAGAACAAAACCACAACTAACCAAAACGTACTTCTGCTAATAGAAACCGTGAAAGGATGGTCCTAAATGAGCTCTGCTCACTTAACCAGTCACCAAGGTTCTCTTGAGTTAAAACCCTTCCCTTTACACCTGCAAAGCACTGAGTATTTATCACGAGTTACAAAAACAATACAGAATGAAGATGATTTGAATTATTAAGCTGTCTTATAACCATTTGGTAAATGTGAAGTCTAAAAGAAGGTCTTTTAATTAAAAAACAGCTCTTCACAGATTCTTCTTGTATCCTGCGGGGACGTAACGCTGTGGCCTTCAGTTCTGGAGTCTGTGAAAATTTCATAATCGTTCCCACCCTGAAAAAAGAAAAGGTAAAAAGCAGAAGAGGATTTATTTAACTTTATTTAACTTAATGGACAGTTGTAGTCTTGGGGTGGAGAAAGAGCTTGTATAGAAAATCCTGAAAAGAATATCCATTTTGCTCCAACTTACAATGTTGCTAACAGATGATCACGAGGACACTATTAAAACTGCCTATTGTCAAGCTGAAATGCAGGCTTGTTACTAAGGTAGGTGGGTTATTGCTGCAATACTGTGATCCTGAGCATGCAGTGGGCCACCTACATTTGGAACTGGTTACTGGTCAGAGGATAGTGATGAAAGGATTATAATTCCTGAAAGTAGCCAGCACTCAGCAGTCGCCTGGCATCTTTCTTGTAAATGTCAAAGCAAGTAGCATAACTGAACAGAATTTGCAGGCAAGATCTATTTGAAGTTTCAGACACCCTATTTATATTAATGTTAATTTCTGAGAGATAGTAACTCATTTATACATATGTCTATCCTAAATTCAATTCTTGCCAGGCATAAGCAGTTGACAGGAACCTACAGTACTTGCAGTTTAAAATAGCAGCCCTGAAACACGTACACAAAACAATATACTCACTGGCATAGTCTTATCTCCAAAGAAATAAATAGTCTTGTACCCATCTTCTGCAATGATTCCTAAGCAGTACCTCTTGTCCCAGCCATCTGGGAACACATCAAAGCTTATCTGGCCTCCTAAGAGAGATATGAACCAGGAAAGCTATGTTATATAATAAGAACATATTTGTGACAAGTGAGGAAGAACAAAACGGAGTATGGCTTTTAGTAGAGGAAATGCTGTCAGACCCTGGATCTACTTCTTAACAGCACAGAAAATATTCCATAGGCTATGAATTATTGTGATTGAGCAGAAATGCTAAGTCATGGCCTGAACCAGTGATTGAGCACCTGGTAGGAAGGCAGGGCCAACCCAGAGGAGCTCAGGTGCAGAGTATGTACTGAGTAATGGAAGGTCTGGAGCCAGTGTCCATCGCTTCCCAGACCTCATTTAAGAGCTGGCAGTGGAGGTGAGGGTATCTCACTGGAGATCCCTGCGTACCTGAGGCCTTTTGAAGGTAAAAAGCTGCTTTCCTTTGTTTCTGTGCCCATGGCTGTTGTATTTGAGCAAGTCCTCACCTGGGACCTTGCTACTGTGCTATCGCTGCTGTGCTTTCCATCATGTTACAGTGATTTTTCTGACTTTACCCACTGAACAAATGTGAAAATCTTACAAGTTCCCAAATGCCACTGAATCTCAATTTGACTGTTTGACTCAACTGAATTCATCCTCAGTGTGGATGATGTTGCTTTGTATGGACATTCTTGTCTTGATGCGAATAAGTCTTTCAGAAGAGAAAGAGGACTAAGCCAGCCTTTGTAATGCACCCTAATGGGACAGCTGTTTTTACCAACAGTATTGAGATTAAATCTGCACTTTTTTTTAAATGTCAAAGAGTAGGATAAACTGTCTCAGTTCCAAATTTGTGGACTTTACCAATACACAGGTGCATTTCCGAGTTGAAGGAGGTGCCAGAATTGTATTGACAGCAAGCTGCAGCAGTCTTTCATTTGTGCTTTAATGTTTTAGCACAGAGCAATAATGGCACCCATATGCTTTTTTAACTGAGAAATAATAAAAGGCAAGAATTACTGTGATATAGTAGTGGGGAAAGGATGTGGAAAATTAAGTCCACCTTATTATCATCACTTCTTTGATTAAAAAAAAAAAAGTCAGAAAACTTAAAAACGAGCAGAATCAGTCACAGGTAGCATTAAAATATACTGAACTGATGACAAGAAATGAAGCTGCCTTTGGTAAAATGTACCAAATGAAAGCCAAATCGGAGGGGGGAGGGAAGAGGTTGATATGCATGCAATGAGAGGATACAATCTGATTTAAATGAAATGGTGTTTCAAATGAAATTATTTCAAATTGATACCTATAGAAAATGTGAGGCCTTTTCCTGCAAATTCTCTTCGTAAATCAGCTACAAATTTTTCTCTTATATGCTCCTTCTGTTTAAAAACAAAACAAAAACAAAACAACAACAAACAAAACATAAGAGATCAGCTACACGCTGTGTTAATTCAGCAATAAAAATATAACTAAAAAACCCAAAATATCCAAAGCTCTGAGTACCAGGACTGCTTTTAAAAGGCTTGAAAGAGTTGGAAAGGAGTAGTTGAGCAGGATGGATATATTAAAGAGCACTCCAGAAAAGGATCATTTTCTATATGACAGGTTTCTGTAGGAATATTTACATACAGGTAGGAGGACATCCAGTACTCTGGACTGGGGTTGAAAGAAACATGAGCCAAGCCTGCCCCTTACCCAAGTAATTGTTAACTATTACACAAAAAACCCTAACTACTGTATCTATTTCCTGATGTCTGAAGAAAGAAATTAGTTAAACTAATCAGCATCATACTTTTCCAGTATTTCATTTTAGAAGATTTTTTTTTTTTTAAAGCAATTTCTGGCTGTAGCTACTTCTGCCAGAACTTGGATATTTTTCAAGAGCTGTAACTCACCTTATCAAGTTCATAGAACTCAATTCGTTCTTCTTGGCTACAGCTTCTTCCAATGGGGGACACGTTTAACATCCCATTTCGGAATTCAATAAAAGTCCCCCTGAAAGAGAATTAACAACGCAGAAAACAGATGAAACAATGTTAAAAATATTGAATACAACAATGAGGCTTTCTTTAATTCTAAAGACAATGGGAATGAGACTTATCCTTCAGCATCCCCTTGTATCTAAAAAATGGGTAGAAAGAAGTAGTGCTGACACCAAGGTGTCTTCTGGACTTTTATGTTTGTTAAATGTATGATGTGGTTTTAAAAGCATGACTGGAGCATCCTGTCAGTGTGACTGTCAGGCCCTAGCAGCTGTTCTGCCTGCTTCTGGGTGGACTTCGAGATCTTGTGAACCTTGGCACTGTTTCTGGTTGGTCTGACATATGGTATGGTACAGACTAGGAGGTGCACTCCCACACACCACAGAACTCATCTTAATACATGTTTCACTTGTCTGGAAAGCATTATGCTACTGAATTCCAAACATATCAAGGAAATAGTCCTACTTCTAAACTGAGCTTCCTTCCCTCGAATGACAGTGATTATTTCAAGTCCTGCAAAGTTGTTTTTCAGCCTTTTAAATCATCGTCACCTGTTCCAGCTGGCAGCTTGTGTTTGCAAGCATGGATTGATCTGTTTCCTGTATGCACTGCTCCTAAAACACAAGGCTTTTTCTTTTTTTTTTTTTTGAGGTGTCTGCTTTGCACATTTATGCTCAACACTCCTCGATGGTGCCTTGAGATGCATCTATGCACATACCTTTTTTTCGGCAGTTTAATCTTTGCAATGTAACTCAGGCAGTAGTTGATAAGATCTTGAAGCACATCCTCACCCAGGTGACCCTGAATGTTCTAAACAAAATAAATACCCATTTAACCAAATGTCCAGAACTGGAGAACATCAAAACAGTTTACGTGGAGAAGACAGCTGCTGGATAATCAGTTGTTACTACCACAGAGCAATGGCCTTTCACTAAGCAACTCTCCATTAATGCACAGGTGATACTAACTAAAGGCTCTCACTTTTTTTCTAAACCATGAAATCAAACTCTCATTTAAGATGCTCCCTTTTAAGTATTTGAGCTAAAAGCAAACCACAAAAGACAGGAGACTGAAAACAAAAGTTGCATTAATATCTGTTGTAGCCATACATGAAGATAAAGAGATTGTTACTGAATGAATTGGGAAGCAATGCTCAAGTTAGCAGCTGCAGCCAGGATCTTGAAAACTGTCATGTCTGTTAGTCATGTTGAAAGAAGGAGGGTGACTGGAGCATCTAGAACCAGCTGTTCATGGTCAGGTAGGATACTGATCATAGAATCATAGAATCACTAAGGTTGGAAAAGACCCACAGGATCATCCAGTCCAACTATTCACCCATCACCAATGGTTCTTGCTAAACCATGTCCTTCAATACAATATCCAAATGTGCCTTGAACACCTCCAGGGTTGGTGACTCCACCACCTCTCTGGGCAGCCCATTCCAGCACCCGATCACCCTTTCAGAGAACCAGTATTTCCTAACGTCCAGCCTGAACCTTCCCTGATCTTCTGCCTTGCAAGGCACATCAGAATGTATGCTCTGAATCAATATCGAAAGCAGCTACAGGAGTCACAAGGAACAGTTCTAGACCTGAAGACCCATCAGCCATGCAAAGCCAGCTCTATGGGTGCTGCAGGAGCGTGGCCACAGGCTCTGGGCAGCCTGGGCTGATGGCTGGTGACCCTGCACACAGCAGGACGAGATGATCGCTGTGGTCCTTTTCAACCCAGGCCTGGCAATGATTCTATGGAAATGTGACCTTAATGAGAAGGGTGATTGCAGAGGACTGTGCAGCTCCAACAAAGCAGTGTTAGAAGATGCTGTTTCCCTGGCAGTCTCAGCCTTACCTGCTTGCTGAAGAACTTCCCATCTTTGTATGCCACGAGGCCGTTCTCTGGAAACACGTAGTCAAACTTTTCAACCACTGCAACCAAACAGAAAGACATCAATAGCAGAAACTTCCCGTGTGTTTAAACGTGCGGTTCCCTTCAGCGTTACGTAGGTTGAAACACAGAGACACAAAACACGTGAGATCCCAACGGGAGGGCCTCAGCAGCACAAGCATCAAACAGGACCGCGATCTGCGCGTTCCTCCGTGAGACCAGCGCAGCCCCGGCCGCACCTTCCAGCCCTGCACAGCCCGGCACGGTCCGCGTCTCCGGAGCAGCGCCGCGCCCGCGGGACAACGCGCAGCCCCGCCCTTACCGTCATCGCCGAGCTGCTCCTTGATCTTCTCGAAATCGGAACCCCCGACAACGCCCACCTTCACCTTCTGACGCAACCTCTGCAAGAACTCCGCCATTTCCGCCGTGATTTTCTACGGTTCAAAATGAGACAGACGGCGCACAGGAGTCAGCCTTCCCCGGAGTTGCAGGGGCGCGCCTGCAACAGGCGCACAGCCCCGTGCCCAGCCCCGACAGCCCCGTGCACAGGCGCTGCCCCCCTCGGCCCAGCACAGCCCGGCCGCAGCGCGCAGCCCTGAGCGCCCCCCGCCCCCACTCGCCTGCCGGGGCGCCGTGAGGGTCCCGTCCACGTCGAAGAGGCACAGCGCGGCGCGCTGCGGCGGCGCCATAGCGGCTGGGAGCGGCGGGACCGCGCGGTGCCCGCCGGGAAGGGGGCGGTGTTATCCCGGCGGCGGCGTGGCCGCGCTCCCGGACGGCGGCGCCATGGCGATGGTGAGCGGGGCGGTGCGGGGAGGCGCGGGGGGCGGCTCGGGGTCCTCGTTTGGGCCGCGGCGGTCGCCTCAGCGGGGAAGGGAGGAGGGCAGTGTTGGGAACGCCGCGTGTCTCGGAGCGCCGGGGCCGAGAGAGGAGGCGGCGCCCGGCGGGTGGTTGGCTCCCTGCGCCGGATCCTCGCGGCTGTAGGGCGCTGCTGAGAGGCGCCCCGAGGGCTCCATCCGCGCCCGCCCCGCCGAGCTGCCCCACGGGCCGCCCTCGAGGCACGCTGCGCCCCACGCTCCGTGCCGTGTAAGCGCCGTGCAGCGGTGCTCTTTTCCTTCCCCCAACAAAAGATGGAGACCGGCGCCATCAGCTTCGCTGTGCCCGCAGGTCCGGCTGTGCCGCGTCCAGAGCGGCCGCACGGCGCCGTCCCCGGGGAGATTCCTGCGCTGGGAGCCCTGGAGGACGGCGTGGAAGAAGGAGGCTGCCGGCCCGCCCTGCTCGCTCGGGACGTCTGTGCGTTTGCGGTCTCACGGCGCTCCCCCTGGCCGAGGGACGCAATTTGTGCCGGCTCGGCTCCTGCGCCGTTGGGCTCCCGCTGCCGCGGCCCCGCAGAAGGCTGGAGATGGGAAAAGCGAAGGGTTCGACGTGGTGTACAGGTTCCCGGGCATCAAGTACTGCCGCGTGCTGTCCAGGCTGAAGCTGCTGCAGACCGCGACCACGCTGCTGGTGCTGCCGCCCGTCTGCTACCTGCACCTGCAGCAGCAGCTGCCCCAGGCCGTGCTGCTCTACACAGCCGGCATCGCGCTCTTTGCTGGAGTGATGCTGTACGGGATGAGCTATTTCTTCAGACGAATTATCGGCTTGATCTACTTAAGTGAAAGTGGAAGAACTGTCAGAGTGGCCCACTTGACGTTCTGGGGGAGGCGCAAGGACATTTGCTGTCCCCTGGAGACGGTGATGACTTTGGATGAGGTTGGGGATGCCAGGGGAGAGCTGCTTCTGCGGTTCAGGCGTTACGACAGCACAGAGATCTTATATTTCACAATTAAATACGGCCAGATTGTGGACAGACAGAAGTTTATGCAAATATTTGGAGAGCTGCAGTGATGTGGCACAGATTGCTGGTGATGTTGCTTGTTGCACTGTTCCTTGTGTGGATTCTTGATGGCATGTAATTAGTTTATCCAACTGACATACTTCTGTCTTTTTCCCATGTGACCATATGTGTGCTCAGTGTAGAAACAGTAACCAGCAATCCACTGGGTAAGTAAGTGTTGTTGCAGCAGGGTTACGGGGTGAGCAGTGAGCAGGAGAGCTTCTTTTGGATGCAGTCAGTGTGTGCAGTGCTGCAGCCATGGCTGGTGCCACGCAGGACACAGCCACACAGACAGTGAGGTGCTGCTGCTGCCCTGCACTGTTTCAGCTTGCATTGGAGGTTAAGGGTAAATGTGACAATCTTTCAAAGTGAATGCAGTGACTGTCAGAGCATCCTCATTTCAAATTCACTGTAGTAAGGTTTAGGTTAGCTGGGAAACTTGTTGAAATTAAACTGGTCCCATACAGTCATATGATAAATAATACTAGATATCAGAGCGATACTAGCCCATGTATTAATGAGCAGTAAGTAATTAATAGTTATAATGCTGAAAAGGCTTCCTGACAATCATAAAAATCAGTGTTAAGGAAACACTCCTTGGACCAACTCTCCTGAGTACACAGGGCTGGTGGCTGTGTGGGTGCAAACAGAACTTGGCACGCAGGGCTGTGTGCTGCTGCACAGCTGATGTCTGGGTGGGTGAAGGCTGGGACAGCCCTACAGGTGCCTACAGTGTTAATTCATTTCCCATTGAAATAAAGGAAGAACACAACATTCCTCATTTGTGGTGCTATGAATTACAGGGAGCCCTTTCTCAGTTCAGATTTTAATCATTATGTTGGAATTTGTAACTACTTGTCCTACTCTGCATATATTTTGGGGGGAGGAGGGGTTGTTTTTAGGTTGTATATATGAAAGACATTTAATCACTGCTGTAACAGTTGAGTTGCAAAAACAGTAAATATTGCCAAAAAATTATCTGAGACTGAAGTCACCAACCTTTTATTTACCCCACCATAGATTACTGTGTAGCTGTGGTCCAGCTGCTCTGTACTGCCTGATCTGTGCGCTGATTTGGGCTTGTTTTAACATCTACAGAACCCTTGCCAAATACCCACCCACTGCCCCAACCTAAAACAAAGAGAGAAAAGGTAAGACAACTGCAAGCTGTGTTGAATTACAGCTGAGAAGTGTAACAGGTGTAGCTTGTGTTCTGTTGAACTGGTGGAGCTGATCACGACACCACCTGTGTGAGTGGAGCTCATCACCTCACCTGTGTCTGTAAAGGGCAGAGGCTGTGTTCTGCTGTGTTACTGTGATTCCTCCTTTGCCAAAGCCAAAATCTCAGCAGAAATAAGGAGCAGGATTTAAATCTGGGAAAGAATGTAACTTGATCACTTAAGATTTTTTTTTAATTGTCAAAAGCAAATTAAGTCTTCACACTGCTTTTCTAGCTGTTACTTCATTTGATGTGAGGTTTGGCTTCTGTCATCCTATGCCCAGCAGGAGCAGGGGAGCATCTGTCAGAGCTTGGGTCTGGTGAGGCCATGCTTTGAGTTCAGCTTTGGGCCCCAAACAAGAAGAAAGACATGGAGGCCCTGCAGCATGTCCAGAGAAGGGCAGCAGGGCTGTGAGGGGTCTGCAGCATAAGCCAGCCTTTGGAGAAGTAGATGAGAGAACTTGGATTGTTGAGCATAGAGGAAAGGAAGCCTGGGGACTTTATTGCTCTCTGCAGTTACCTCAAAGGAGGCTTTAGCAAGGCAGGGCTCAGTCTATTCTCCCAGGTAATAATGACAGGATAAGGAAATAGCCTCAAGTTTAAGCTGGGTATTACAAAAAGTCTCCTTGCAGAGAGGGTTATGAAGCATTGGAGTAGGCAGCCCAGTGCACAGCTGAGGTACTGAGAAGACGTGTAGATGCAGTGCTTAGGGATGTGGTTTAGTGGCAGTGCTAGGTTAACAGCTGGGTTTGATGACTTTTGAGATCTTTTCCAACCTGAATGACAGCACATCAACTAACCTTCACCAGCAGTGACATCTGGAGTGTGCTTTTCAGTTTATTCCTCAGGCCTATTGAAATCCATCTCAGTGGATCAGCAGATCGAGTAAGTAAAATTGCTGTTAGAATGCAAAGGCTAACCCTGATCTACTGTTCATTCACACTGAATGTCTCCTAATTGGTGTCTTCATCTGAATTGTGGCTCATAGTGAGTTGTGTAGCAATATCAAAGGGAAAATAAAAGTCTTCCTTGGCTTAAATACTATGGCAGCAGGAAACCAGTTGACAGAGGTGGCCTGTATGCATACAGTATGATTTGTGGAGGCATCTCTTCACAGGAATATATTTAATATGCACTAATGATTCAGTTAGGCATGTGCTAAGTGTAAAATAAAGAGCCTTGGGGAAGTTCAATTATAAATATTTTATTTAAGAATACTGATTACACGAGATGTCATTTTGTTACGAATTTGTGTACAGTTACTAATTACACCATGAAGTGTACTTAAGTATTGGTTTAAACATTTATTTGGCACTGTCCACAGTATGCTGTAAACAATATTAACTTCATATGCTTCAGCTGCAGTGCTTTCTATGTATTCTCTAACATGATCTCATCGGCATGTTGTACACAATTATACAGTTACTGAGTGTCAGTAAAAATTATAAAAACATCTAGAGTATTCATCATAAAAGTGAAGATGTGGTAAGACTTCAAATTACTGGACCTTTGCTTCTGTAAAAGTACAAGACTTGCTAGGACACTAAAACTACTGCACTGATATGTCAAACTACCTAATTCCCAGAATGCAGTCAAATGCAGTTCTCAGTTTGACTTTCCTCTTGGTGATAAAACTCTTATGAGGACAGTGATGACAGTGAGGCTTTGTTGAACACCAGTCCACCAGACCCTTCTCCAGATTTCAACAACCTGTTCAAAAACCTGCTCAGGTTCTGACCAGCTGGTACCAGAATTGTGGGTTCTGCAGAGAGGTTCATAGAAATCCCATTATTTTTAAGCTAACAGAAGTGAGTTTTCTTGAGTTGTCCAATACCAGAACTCAATAAATAAAATGGGAAAACCACGATTAAAATGTAGCAAGGTAAGAAACCTTTCACAGTTTGGTAGCTCTTTTAAGCATGTATAAATCCTTTAACTGCTCTGTCTTTACTGTATAATTAAAGACTTGCTAATAGGGCGACTGCAGTGTCAAATGTGGTCCCTCTTTTTTGGTGCATAACATAAAAGAAGTTCAACTCAGTAGGAAAACACCTGGTGCCTGCTAGCCAAGAAAACAAACTGAAGAAGGTACCAGAACTAATTCAAGTCAGCCTGAAACAAACAGCAAAGAGTTCACAGTAAAGAGATGTCCAGAACAACTACAACACAACAAAGTGTTGACATTTTTTGATTCTGTGGCTTTCCAGAAGACCTCTGTAAACTATTAGGACAGAAATACGTTGCATTACAATGTGCAGTTGGGACTACTCACTGCTACTGTGAGTTTACACAGTAGTGGCTCTCATGTCACCCAGTGGCTGAGATCAAGCAGTTCTGCTGTAGTTTTACAAGATAGTCAAGTAGTAACATAGAACTTGTAATAGCTATAATTAATGGCTGTTACGGTGCGTTTTGGGCAAATGGGAAAATAATCCTATAAGATCACTGACAGAGGTGGAAATGATGTGCTTTGCACGATTCTCTAAGCTTTGTCAAATCAGAAACATTTCAGTATACATTTTTCTGTACAGGTCTGATTGTAAGAGAAGGCAAAAGTTTAGACCTCCAGGGCAAGGACAGAGTGCTTCATTTGTGCTCTGCCCTGCACACGTGGCTGTGCATTACACCTCTGAAGCCGCACCTGTAGGCTAATGGCTGAGTAGAGCAGTGCTGTGATGCACGTGGTATGGCAGACCAGTGTTTAGGGGAATAAAGCTGGCAATTATTCTGTAAAATACTGTACTTGGCAGTGGTGGAAAGCAAAGCTTTCCTTGAAATGCCTTTTATTCTGTCTGCCATCAGAGAATGGCTCTTTCTGCATGGCAGGCATTTGTATGTGCATTTAAGTGTTAGGCCATACTTGTTGCTGCTTCTGGACACAAGTAAAACTGCTGGGATTATCTGTGAAGATGGACTGTGCCAGGTCCTATTTAGACAAATCAAGCAGTCAGGGCCATAGGTGTAGGGAGGGCTCTGCAGTTTGCACGGCCCAAAGATGGAGGGCCACAGCCTCTACAGGCGCAGCGCAGGGGCGCTGCAGGTACCTGCTGGTGAGCAGTACCAGTGCTCTGCCTGTGCTGTTTTGCATGGAGCAGCTTGCCTTGGGCAGGATTACAGACAGAACACAAACCTCAGTTTATGACTTTACACTTATCTCGTAAGTGGAGAAGACATGAATTAATGCAAACTACTTTCATAATCAGTTAGTTGTTCCATGTGAGAGAACTGCTTTTTACTTGAAGTTTGCCAAGATGTCACTGAAAATGTTCAGGAAGAGATGTGCGTGGTGGTCCTTGAAGATCAGTGTTGGACGAAAACGGATCGATCTGTCACCACAGCCTCCCAGCACAACACCTGCAAGGAGAACAGCTCCTTCAGTCATCACTGCCCAACATCCAGTCACTGCAGGTCGTACCTCACTGAGGAGGGTCAGTAAAAGCTTCCCCCCAATCACTACAGCCACAAAGCACATCACCAGTACTGCAGAGGCCTCGGGCTTCACAGCAACTCAGAAGAAACTCAGAGGCCATTCTGTGAAACACTTGAGATGCTGGAAAAGCTCCCTGCAGCACAGCGCTCAAAGCCACTGCTGGAAAGCTGCAGTACTCCATGGGTTAGGTGCCTCCATCTCAGAACTAACAGGCTTCTTTACACTTTTGTTTTTAAACAATTTTATTTTTAATGACAAAAATGTTAAATATCTCAGTGCTGGCTGTGCTCCACTACTTAAAGTACATGGTATATATTTTTTAAAGGGTTGTGGACCATGCAAACCTGTACTACTGAGCTGAGCTTTCCTTGCCTCTAAGCACAGCCTTGGTGCACCATAAAAGAAATGCCTTACCTTTTCTCCATGTTGGCTTTCAAAAACAAAACATACCAATGTCTTAACAGTGGCTAGATGTACTGTATGTGCTTCATTCAAGATATGTGAGCAACAGGAAAAACAGCTGCAAACCGAGGGCCCAAAGACAGGCTTCAGATCATTAGGAGGTTCCCCTCCTAAAACCTGGGCTGGCCTACAGCTGGGTGAAGTTCTGTACTAACAGAGGCATGTAGTTGTACATCCATGCCTGCTTTAGGCAATTCAATGTATATTTTGTTCTGAGGTATTCCATAGAATTCCTAGTTCTCCCTGCATTTTCCTGTATGACAGTTATGTTAACAATTTTCCTGATGTGTTTCTAGAAGTAAGCCATGCCAGATCCACCTCTGCTCACAGCTGAGGAACATTAAAGTGGGGTTATAAAAACAGTGCTCTGCATAGGTCTCTCTATGTAGCATCAGACCTAAAGAGGCAGTAATTGTGCATGTATGTGCAACTGACTGGTTCAGATAAACGTTTAAGGAGATACATCTACTCCCAGAGAAGCCTCCATAGAGTTTGTTTGTAAGTCACTTTTGTCTTTGGATATTTTAGTATGCATGCACCAGATAAAAGAAAAAATTCAAAGCATTACACATATCCTGCTGTTTGTCATTTGAAACTTAATCCACACACAAAGTTTCTTACCTTTGTTTCTCGCTATTGTAATTAACTTGTTTCTAGTTGCATCATTTGGAGTGTCAAACGAACAGAACGTTCCTCTTCCTCTCACTCTGCTGATAAGATGGGGGTAGCGAGCCTGCAGAGAGAGGTAAGGATGTATGCACGGCAGCTGCTGTCACTGAGGGCACCTGCTGGCAGGCTCTGCCAAGCATTCTGCAGCACAGAAAACCTGCTGCCTCCTGTTCTGGTGGACTGGAGCTTGCGAACAGCCTGGGTATCTCATAACCACCCCCTGATCAATGTCCCACAAACAGTGGAAGAGATGAAGTCCCACTCCCTTCAAAATTCCTTCCACACGATGTCATATGGTGTGGAATATCCCCTCATTGTGTTCCCTCCCAGCTCTTCCAGCCCTTTGCTGAGAATGGTGTCAGCTCCGTACAATACTGCTTAGCAGCAACTGTAAATATTGGTGTCTTTTTAACATTGTATTTCTCCTAGAACCAAAAGCATAGCGTCACAGCTTCACATATTTTGGAGGTCACCCTTCATTTTGGATTAAGCTATATAAAAACTGCATTCTTAAGTCATTAAAGGAAAGTTTACTTGAGTTCAAAACAGGACATGTTTACTCAGGCTTACATTGAAGGCCCTGAACCACTAAGTTACCATCATAGTCTGCTGCCCAGCTGGAGTTCCTCAGTCCATGTATTTGAAACTGGATGAGGTCAGACCCTAACTGATCAGCAAATTCCTCCTTCTTACCTGTAGTAACCCTTAAGAACGCTTACCTGTAAATCCAGTAGGCCAGTCAGTAGTGCTTTTCCTGCATGGGCTGCGTTGTTTATAAGGTCTTCTCTTTTAATAACCCTAATGACTTCAGCAAGCAGAAGGTTTTTGGATGGATCTCCAAGCCAGGTGTTAAAAATCCGATAAGGCTTGGGAAAGAATGGAAAGAGAGTTGTGCAACAAGTTAACAGGCAAGTCACTATAATAAAGAAAGCAAACCAGCACATTGATCACATATGGTACATGAAAAAGCATGCACTAATCTCAGTAAGTCCCCTAAGCTGCCTGCCTGGCATAAAGAAAGAGCTACTACTTTATGCCATGAATTTAGCATGTTTTATTTTGCTGCTCTGTCATGTCACTGGAACAAGGCTACAGATTATATTGAAATCAGTGTTGTCTGTATGGATTTGCTGTTCAAGCTTTACCTTCTCTTGTTAATTTAGTTTTTTTCATTTCATTTTCATTTAAAGTGGTATTACTACAAAGAACAAGTCTGGATAACAGAGTTCATACTACTTGCATACAAGCTCTGAAAATGCCAATCCCTGCAGAAAAAGGTGTTGGTTTGTGGTGCCTTTTGTACCGAAGGGCAGTTCATTAGGCTGAACCCAGTTCTCCACTCTCCCCCATCAGTGATGTGAGTGACTGGCAGCAATCAGACTAACAGAGTGAAAGTAAAGATGTCTCCTGTAAGCAAGTGTCTCTGGGACAGCAGCTCCATCTAGCTGAACCTGCAGCTTGCCTCTTCCACAGACATGTCAGGTGCTCATAAAGGATCTTGCCAATTAGCACAAAGTTTCACTGGAAGTCTTACAGCATTTGGCCTGAACTCCTCTTTGTGGAAAAATCCTCCTGTCATCATCTTCTTACTAAATGTTACCACATCAGCTGGATCATCCAGGCCCCAGTGCTCGTGTGCCCAGAATTTTCCTGTGCAGCCACCTCCAGTCTGCACCTCATCCACCAAGAATGCACAGCCATGCTGCAGAGATTTAAGTGAAAAGCACAGAATAGGAGTCAGCATTTTCAAAATAAAAATACCTCCCTCAATGAATAGATGCATACAAGGCAATTACATTATGTTTCTCCTTCCTCTGCCTTCACTGCTTCAAATCTCTTGTCTTCAACCTGAAACCAGTGTTGTCATATTTCCTAACCAGACTTTCAACTCACTGTGCATTGGATTTCACAATTCACCTATTCTCTTCTCTGTGAGCACACAAAAGCTTCTCCCATAGATGTCTGAGGGGAACAAAAAGCATGAAGTAGGTCTTACTGAAGGCCAGTGCTTCTAAATACATAACTGCCATGTTCCAGTTATGAAGGCATCTATCGTTGACCTTGTTTTCTTGGAACATTTGTACTTATCCATGAATTTGATTTGTTTTTAACTTCAACAAGAGTAGAAACAGAAGTATGCCAGCCAAAAATTACCCAAACCACCTGTTCTAAAATTGTTTAAACCCCTCAACAATTGAGGAGTCCACCAACTGTGTGCCCAGTGTAAGAGACAACGCTGTGCTGACCACAGGAGTTGTTTGTATGGATACATGTATGTAACTAGCCCAGCTGCTAATGAAGAGGCTTGTGACATTCCAGGGAGAGAAAGGTCCCTGGAGACGCTAACAAATGATGCACATTTAGCTACCACTGTGTGAGCAGTGAAACACTTGATTACCTTTCTGGCAATATCTCGTAGCTTTCTAAAGAAGTCATCCGAGGCATGGTTGTCTCCACCCTCTGACTGTATTGGCTCTATAATGATTCCAGCCACAATCTTCTTCTTTTTCCTGTACTTGACAATCAGATCTTCCACCTGCAAATCAATTCATATTACATTTTCTTCTCATAACCTTCTCATATTTCTTCCCAGAAAGATTAAAGCTCAGCACCAGCACTTCAACATTTCATAGCCTGGCTATAAAAGTGGCAGGAACCAGAAGAAATCTATAAGTGTCTTAAGATTTAACTGCCTTCTTGTTCATAATTTTTGGTGAAGTTCAAACCACAATCTGAAACAAACTATAAGCAAGTAGTATAATTCTCCATAGTGTAAAAAGTACAGCAAATTGCAGCTGAAAGTATCGTTGAAACCACTATAGTTTGCTGTGCTGTTGCTGTCATTCCATCTCAGATTTAAAAAACATAGCACAGAACAAATCTCATCTGATGTATGAATGAAGGCAATCTTCTAAATTTGCATTTTTTATTCACTTCACATGCTTTTAACTTAATCTGATGAAGCACTGCAGAAATTCTGTTGCCGGTAAGGGGCTTACGAAGGAGTTTTAATTAACCTTGTAGAGCTGGTCATTAGGTGTCAGCTGTACTTGAATTATCCCTTCACAGCTTCCAGGGCCCACAGCCGATGTAGGCTGTATAAAGCAGTTCTTTCCCAAGAGTGCCAGTAAGCAACTTCAAAGACTTTCAAGAGAGCATTCAGCTTTCCTTTTTTTTTTTTCCTTTTTTTTCTTTTTAATAATGGCTGAAGTTTGTGGATTGATTTTTCACATTCCACTTCCCCCCTGAATAAGCTGTTGTCACAGGGCAGCAATTTGCTATGCTTTCAGTTTCCCCTGAAGTTCTTCAGGTTTAAATGAGCAGCCCCTTCAGCCCAGCTCTGCACAGCCATCCACGCAGCGCTGCTGTGTGCAGCACTCAGCCCACTCCTTGGCAGTCACTTCTAATCTATGTCCCACATCAAACCTGTTCCACAAGGCACATCATGCTTTGCTCTCCACAGCAGTCTCTCAAAAAGAACGCCTTGCAAATGGCAGATCCTGGATGCCAGGAAGCCCAACAAGGAATCCCATCGTTTGGGTACATGGAGGCAGCTTGCCTCCCTGCAGCTCTGTTCGGCTCACCCTCCCTTCCTCCTGTACTAGGGAAGGCATGGAATGTGCCTGCTCCTTCCCTGCAGCTGTCAGAGGATCTTTTTTTTTTTTTTTTTTTAATGTCTTTATGCACAAAGACTAACACATTAAAACTGAAAAAACTGAAATACTGGTACAGGTCTTCTGTGCAAAGAGTTATGCACACTGAGCTCTCTGTTAGCCCACATCTCTTTGCAAAATCTGGCAGACCAGTTCATCAGGACATAACGAGCTGCTTCTGCACCTGAACTTTCCCTTTGGTACAATGTAATGACAGCAGACTGGCTGCTCTTCTGCAGAACAGGGCCAAACTGCTAACTGTAAACAACAGTGAATGCTGTTTTAATCACAAGCTGTTCCAATCCCCGAAAACATTCCTTTAGTGAAAAGCAACTAAACCTACTAACACCATTCATCATTTCCAAACAAAATTAACAGAAAGCTGCCAGCGAATTTCTTACCTCCTCTAAACAACGGGCTTCTTCCTGTTGATTCTCTTTCACAAAGTCTTCCAGAGGGTACTTTAGTCTTGGAAATGGAGCAATAGGCCAGTCCAGCGAGGGGATGTCCAGTTTGTGAATTGCTTTAGAGTGAGTTGTAGCTAAGCAACCTAAGCCCAAAATAACAAGAATTAGAGTGATATCTGACAAGGAACTGTACAGGAAAAAAGCAACAAGAGGTGAAAAATTGCCTGACGTCAGGACTTTCTGAATTGCTCCATGTTTTCCTTTCCTGAAATACTGAGTAATAGGATTTATTCAAGGCAGAGTGCTGTAGCCTCTAAGCATCCATTTCCATATGCACTGTTCCAGAAGGACAAGAGGACCTCTGTCACCGAACAGCAGTGCCGGGTAGATGGGTTCCACTCAGTGGAAGAAAATCAGCCGTGGAGCTCTGAGCCCTAAAGAGCGGCTAACGAGTTTGTGGCTGGGACTGAGCTGATATAAAATGTTAACCATGAGTGTCACCATTTTGTGTTGTGGCACTTTCACCCCAGGAGCTAGACTGCTAGTACATGTAGGAAACCCTGGATTCAAAAATAAGGGATCTTCATATTCAGAAGATTTGAGATTAAATCCCACTGTCACTCGAGGACAGTTTCAGTACTGGTGGGGCTTGTAAGGCCCATAGGCCTGCACCTGCTCTGCTGGCACTGCTTGTCTCAGAGCAGCCGCTCTGCAGTCTGCAGCAGGACAGCAGCTCATGCAGGGCTGGGGAGGAGGCACAGGACAAGGGAGGGCAGTTCTTACCGAAGGTCCTTCCGTGGAAGCCACCCATGAAGGAGAGCATGGCATAGTCGGGGCAGCCGGGGGGCTGGAAGCAAAGCACAGAGGTCAGCACGGTGCCAGAGCTCAGCTGCTGCCCCACAGCCTGCCCACAGCCTTCCTCCCCAGGCAGCAGCCACCAAAGATGGTTACATTGGCACATTTAAGAAGCACGTGTCAAATCATCCCCCGTGCTTGAACTCCTACGTTATATTACAGCATTAATGAACATTTGGCAATTTATACTGATAATACTATTGCTTTACAACAGCAGAACATTCAGTGTAGTCAGCCCTTTCTGGTACAAACAACCACTTGTGCACCACGTACCCACGTGTGGGGGTGGTGGGGCCTCTGAGCAGAGGTGGGACTGCCCCGGCTGCAGGCCTGAGAGCTGAGCCCCAGTGCTGCTGGGGAGCAGGTTTCAGAATGGGCAAAGGGGGGCTGTGGTGAGAGGAAAATGACCCAGAGCAGATCACACTGCACAGCCTCCAAGGAAGCTGCAGCCTGTGGAGAACCCACAGCACAGCAGTTTTATCCTGAGGGACTGCAGCCCATGGAGGCCCTGCACAGGGCAGGGGAAATGTGCAAGGAGAAAGGAATGGCTGACAGGACGAGCTATGGACTGACCACTGAGACTGGTAAAGGGATGGTGAGGCCACGGGCAGCCCACCACAGCAGGTTCCCTAAGGGCTGATAAGCAATCTCTTTATATGCTACAGACTGCCTTAATAGGAGGCAGAGATACCAAAGCAGTGAGTGAGAGCTGCCTCCTACGTGTATTTCTGAGTGTCTGCACTTGGGGCACGCTCAGACCAGCACAGAGCTTTGATGTGCTGCACCATGAATGAAAAGGAACCATGACAAAAAACATGCCACTGTATTCTGTCTGCAGTTCAGAAGAAGGATGTACTTCAGCTAACCCCAGCCTCTCCAAACGTGCAAATTACCTTTGTGTTTCCCTTTTACCCTAGGAACAAAAGGCCTATCACCACTTACACACTCTTTAGACCTTTAGTCTCACCTATGTGCTCAAGGATCCAACATTTGTAACCCCCCAGAAAAAGGCATAAGTTGCTCTGAACATTTCCCACCCTCAAACTGTAAAGAAAAGTCAATTAGCTCAAATGTGAATCTCCATTTTTAGAAAGCTAAGCCTGGCCAAAAGGTGACAGTCAGTTCCACAAGTCTTTGGTCATCAGAAAATTCCTGTTCCTTCAGGCCGTTAGGTGCCATTCTTTCATTAGTATGGGCACAGCCATCTCTCTGGACTGTGAGCAACACCAGAGAACTTTAATTCCAAAGACAAGCAAAAACCCAAACCCTCCTCCAGTTTAAAGCTAAATGAAGTCAGTAATCTCATGCAAATGAACTGGAGTGCTTTTCACTAGAAAGGTGACTACATGGGGCTGAGACCAGCAGGTTACATGTGTCTCAAAGAAGAGAGAAAATATGCAGTTTTCTGCTATTGTTGCAAGTTAAGATTTGTGCCTGGCATGAGCAAGACCGCCTGAAAGCTGAGAAGGACTTCAGAGGTTTTTCTGTTTTATCTGTTTTCTCATCCCACCTGTTAACAATTGAGTTTTTAACTTCCCTCCTGATTAGTTTTAAGCCATAAGATCACAGCTTCTGGAAAAATGAAAAGGACAGTCAATATTACTTGCAAAAATGTGCATGTATTAATAACCCCTATGGACCCATCCATCACCTAATTCCCTTTCTTGAAAATGGTATTTCATGAAAAAGGAAGATCTTTCCAAGATTCACGGTGTGGACAGATGCAGAAGAATACTAGCAGCAGGTCTTGGTATTTGTTGGAAGCAGCTTGTCTTTCCCTATTTTCTAAGTTTACAAAACTGAGATTCCACTTCAGAGACAGGAAAACCAATTTTTCCTCCCAGTCTTTTCTTAGAAACCCAAGCCAGTGTTACATCTGTATGGTAAAAAACCCCACAGCGTTACCTGGTTAATCATGCATGATTCCAGTTCCTCTTTTGTGACATTATTACGGCCTCTCTCCTTGTTCTGCAAATAAACAAAACAAAAACAAACAGCTACCAACAGTTTTCCTTTAGTTATAATCAATGAATTTGTACCCGAGTTTAAAGTTACTAATTCTGTTTTTTCAAACTAGAGGCAGTGAAGACTGTGGTTCCTATGACTGCAATGTGCATTTTATAAGACAAACTATTTGTGGTAATTGTCAGTTTAAGATGTTGGCCCTAATAACGTACAGATAGGCAGAGTCAGCCTGTTCACTCACTCCTACACATCAGGAGAAAGAAGACTGCTGTAGGAGAGGCCATTTCCAAGAAATACATGACCTTCCTTGAGTATTAGGTTAAACCATTTCTGGAAGAAGAAATAGATCACAGTACTGAGCTCATCACGTGGTGAACAAAGAATAAGCACTAATACCACATACATTTTCTTTCTTTCCTTTACTTCTTAATTTCTGAAATTGTATCAATAGAAATTGAAAGCTCAGATGAAGGCTTTTTAATAAAGAACCTATATTAAGGTGAATATAAATAACATCATGCCTAGAGAACCTCTGACCCTTACTTTGCTTTGTAACAGCAGTTATGCTGATGAATAAATAGAGATTTCTACATTCAGAACTACAAAACATAAACACTATTAATATTTTACTCACTCTGTACCACATAAATATTAATTTAAATGCATTTTCATTTGAGCAGGATCCACAAGCCATGGTCATCACCTGTGGCAGACCCTTGGGAGCCACCTGTCAATAAAAAGGGAAAATCACTTCAAAATACTGAGCGCAACTATAGTGGAAATTGAATGTAATGCAATTAGTTTCAATGTAATAGGAAACCAGCCATGCCTGGGATGAAGAAAGCTGACTCTTAACTGCAGCTGAAGAGGCTCAACACACACTCCACGTACGCTACCTCTTATGAAAGCACAGTGAACAGAACTAAACGAAAATGCATTCTGTCATCAATTCTTGAATTCACATTGAAAGCAGCAGTATCTGTGCTGAGAACAGACACATCACCCTTTCACACTGAAGCCTGGGGAAAAAGGTTCCATTTTGTCACTTGCTGGTTCTGGTCTCTTGAAAGAGCTTCCCTCCAGCAGGCAGACAGACTGCTCACCCACGGTGCTTCCTACGAAGACCCCACAGCTCCCCTTGATGTACCCATGTCACTGAACACAGAATGCAGTAACTCACCGCAGCCATCTCAGACTTACTGATAACAAAGATTCCTTCAGTCTTTCTGAAAAGTTCTCCGGAGGTAAAATCCCTAGGGCAGGTCTGTTGATAAAAGTGCTCTACAAAAACAAAGGAAGAGAAATTGTTAGCTTTCAGTATTACGTGAAAAATATCGTGTTGGTATGGAGGCAGTTACATTTCATTCTTATCACAAATAACAGCCAGAAATTTGTACTTTTATGTTTACTGGGCAGTAGTGAGCAGTGCAGCAAGGAGATCAGTGATAAGCTACCTTGCATGCTATTCTCTCAATAATCAGAGGCATGCATTAAATCAAGCTCAAGAACATCGACTTGACATACCCAGATGAGCTGGTGAAGATGCTTTTCAACCACATTCTGCTTTCATGAAGCCTGCCGATTTGCACGGGAAACATCCCAGTTAAATATTTCTTGTTCTGGTGCTTTTTGTTTGTGCAGTCACCTTTCCCACTGCCTTACCCTGAATTTTAGGTACATTCTTTATTGTAGAATTTATAGAAATAGAAGATTTCTAGCTTGTCAGCATTATAGTTTTCTCACCTCTTCTTTTCTCCTTTCCATTTCCTGATTAAGGTAAAATCAGGTGCTACTAACCTAAATCAGGTGCTACTACTGCTGAAATAGTCCCCATGGTTGCATGGTTGCAACATGAATCTCTCCTAACAGAGCGCTTGCACAGCTGAGCTTTGGTAACTCAAGTCTTTACAGGTCTCCAAGAGGGAACAGGCTACATCCCAAGCTTGTACAGTTTTCATCAGCCTTCCGTCTTTTCTCGCTACAGGAACTCCTTTATTCAGACTTGTGGACCACAGTAAGAGGTTTGAGTGGTCATACTGTAAAATCACAGCAAGCCTGGAGGCACCTCAGAGTCCCTCTGCCCCAGCACGGCCCCAGCAGAGCCTTGCAGAGCAGGGCCCAGCCCCACAGACAGGTGGCTTTGGGAGAGCTCTAAGGAGGAGACCCACAGCCTCTGGGCAGCCTGTGCCAGGGCTCCAGCACAGCACAGCACAGCAGTGCTGCCTGACAGGCAGAGGGAACTGCTGTGCTCCGGGTTGTGCCCACTGCCTCTGCTCCTGGCACTGGGCAGTGCTGCAAGGAGCCTGGCTGTGTCCTCTTTGCACCTCCCTGTGGTATTTATGGACACGGCCCTCTGAGACTTCTCCTGCTGGACAGCCCCAGTACACGTACAACATTTCAGCAGAACTCTGAGATAACCAAAAGTTACATAAGGTACAACAAAGTGTGAGCTAGGGCTCACACTCAGTAATTCATACAAGTGTACTATTTCCAAACACTATTTGCTTCAACAGACTTAAACTTAAAAAAAAAAAAAAAAATCTAAGTAATGCCTATACTAGCAGCTAACCACAAAGTTTTTGTTTAGTACATATGAGAACTCTTACTTGACTTTTTACCTCAATTTAAAAGGCAATTCTCATATAAAATTAAGAGATATGAGACCATAAATCTGTCATGAATTTGATTATGGGTTGTCACAGTCAATTGACAACATTTGCCATTAAGCAGAAAAGTCAATTTCTCTTTCGTTATTAATGAGATGCTCAGTATCAAGAGAAACATAACACTGATATCAAGCTGCTATGGTCTCAAATGAATGGATGCATATTTTGTTCTTTATAGCCGGCTATAAAGAGGGTACATGGAGCATTACAGATAAACAAAAAAACATCTCTCCAAGAAAACACCAATCCTGTTGTTAACTACAATCAAGGCCCCTCCATTGATGCGTATTACTCAAGAAACAATAAGGCTGTTTTTTGAGTACTAACGCTGGCACTGCAGTCAGACCCCAGCGTCTGCAGTAAGGTTCCCCCAAGTTCTGCCCTTCCAGCTCTCCGGCCTCAGTGCCACAAAACTGCCCTGCAGGGATGACATTCTGCCTCTGCTGGGCTCAGAGCGAAGGCTGCCAGGAATGGGCAGCGCAGTCAGGGACAGACTGCCTTAGTGCCACCTTCTGCCCTTGATCAAACTGATGGAGGTTTCAGAAACCAGAATAGGGCACCAATGTTTTTGATGCTGGAGAGATGGGCCTTATATTAAGGCTGGCAGCCTTTTCTGGCTTAAAGATTAGCAACTGCCACCACACAATTGGTTTTTGTTCTGTTTAAAATCTGACTTTGCCTACTACTGCATTAAACAAGGCACTGCCATCTCCAGAAATGATTTCATGACTTAATGTTAATGAAATACTAGTGCTTCCACGTATCCAGATCTGCCTTCATTAACTCTAGAATTTCTAGCCTTGACGGCAGACTTATTTTATTCTTATACTGAAATACTGCCGTTCTGTGAAAGGCAGAGTTCCTCTCATCCTGAAGGACTGAGCTCAGCTCAGCTCAGCGAACCCAAACACCTGAGCTCCTCTCATGTTTGGCCCCAGCTTTGCTCTCCTGGACAGAGCCACGAAACTTCATGTAGGCAGCACAGCCAAGGGATCTGCTGTGTGCAGCCCAAGGCCGTGCAGCTCAGTTCTGCCTGGCTGCATTCTGCTTCTCGGTTAAATCACAACCCTGTGCATAAACATCTCTGTATCATGTGCATCACTTGTGGTGTTAAAAAGTAAAGGGGTAAAATTAATACAAACAAACAAACCCACGAAGTGATTATGGAACTCCTATCCAAGAAATGAAAACACGAAGCCTGAATTAGAATGCAGCTTTTTTCCAAATAGTGTCAGCACAGTGTTGAGGAAATAAGAAGGTATTTAATTTAAGAAGCAGTTACTTGGCTTTGAAATCATCGTGTTGCTGAACTCTTCAGTTTTCAAGCACTTGCCAGTGGTTTAGTCAACTTCATGCTTAGGAGATGGGAACCAAGTACTGAAACACCCCTCAAAAAAAAAAAAAACCCACAGAAAACCAAACCAAAAAGAAGGAAAAAAACCTAGAATAGAACAGTAACAAACAAAACAGAGCATTCCAGATGTAAAGCACCATTTTCATATACAGAATACTACTCTCTGAAGGACTTGTGCTTGATTTCAGCCTCAAAAGCTTCAGTCAAGAACATGGCTAAAATAATTAATTGGAAACTCTGTGAAGTGTGGTTTAAATTGGCTGCAAACATCCCAAGTGCTTGCATTGACAATTGTCTCCTTATTGTAAAGCTTTGCATACTTTCTGATGTCTTCTTAAACACAACCAAGCTATTTTCATCTAATGAGAAACAGGGAGAGCAGATCTTACCCTACCTTCAAACTGAGTCATTACGTCTTCATTATCAGCCTAAGAGAAATTGGAGAAGACTGCCACAAAGAGGGAGAGAATGCCTTCAAGTATGTTGGAATTCACTTACCAGGTTCTGTGGCTGCTGGAGAAGCTTTATCAGAGACGGATGGCTGTAACCTAATTAAAAAGAGAAAGAAAAGTTGTATCTGGTTTATGTAAACTAATGTGGAGAGTGACCCAGAGAATAACTTTATTCAGACTTAGCTCAAATTCTGTTTAACGTGTGTATGCTTCAACTATCAACAATAAGACTTCTTTTAAATAGGACAGTTCTCTTCTTTTATGAACTTGGTGTCAGGCAACAGCACAGTGTATTTTAGTACATACGTTATAAACCCAGCACAAAAAGAGATGAACATAACACTGATCTTCTGGCAGTTGAACATCACACTTTCTATCACATGGCCTTTCTATGCAAGATGCTGTCAAACTTGTTGAGAAGTGCATGCACTGCACTGCATGCTCTTTTCTGAGCAGCTTTCTTATCTCCCTGCTTTCCTCTAACACACTTTTTGTTGGACAAAGATGCAACAGCTTTCCTTTTTACCTATAAAAGTTAAAATATTAAGGAGGCTTCAGATTTAACAAGACAAAAGAGCTTAATTTATACTCATTGATGTTACATGAGATCACTTGCTTGCTTACAGGTAAACCAACAGACCTGATGTAGAACAAGTATTCAGCACAGAAAACTGTTTTAAGCCCAATTTTTACATCTGATATATCAATGCCAGAGACTTAAAATAATCTTTTACATTCTCTTGCAGAAACAGCTGGAAGCCTCATCTTCCCTACCGCTCAAGAAGCCAGCCTGCTCTAATGTTATTACAAAAGCAAATCATGCCCCTGATTTCCCCATTCCAGTTGAATGACAACAGCTTTTATTATCCTGCCTGAGCAGCAGAGCATTCGGCTACCGCATTAACAAATCAATTTTAAATTCCATCTTGAATGCTTTAGTTCAAAACAGGGGAATATCCAGACTGTTTTGTAGCTGCACATCATTCTGCAAGGTATCTGTTACAATTATTATGAAGATGATACAAGTGGCTATTTGGACACAGGCAACTAAACCTGCATTGCATCAGCTGCCGTGGGACAGACGGACACAGCTGAGGGCTGTGGCACTGAGAGCTGAAGCTGTGGCTGCAGCCCTGGGCACCTTGGAGAGCACAGCTTAGGAAATCTCAAATTACCCCTGTTATAAAACAACCACCAGTGCCTAGGAAGCTTAACCATTAACTCTGATAATGCTTGTAAAAACGTGTGAGTTCTGTTGCTGGTGCTAAGTTAGCATGAAGAATGCAGAGACCTTTGTATCTTTTGTTATGTAACACAAATCCAAGGTTTCCGTTACCCTTAACCCATCTTCTTCCATCCCCACAAGATGACACCTTCCTTTCCCTTCACTCTGTGCCCCACAGCTCTGTCTGCCTCCTCCAGCATTCTCTGTGCATCAGCACATCCTTGCCAAGGCACGGTAAGAAAGAATCTTTAAACCCTGCCTTTCTGAAGGAGCAGGAACAGAAAGGTGCTGACCTGCTGTGTGGGTTTATATTAATAAATCTAACACTGGAATGACCGGAATGGTTAATTATTATGTAACTATTGTAGCCAGACTGCTCCTGGGCTAAGACAGCAGACAGGAGCTTGTTTCATTGCCAAGGGCAGCACAATGGTTTATAGCTTTATATCCACTCTCCAGCACCTTCCTATCAGCAGTGACAGAGCTGGCGCTAAGAGAAGGGCACCTGCTCCATCACTGTACCTGTCTGCCTCCATCAGCACAGCAGAAAAGAACTTGTCCTCCATGCTCACGGATGTGCCTGTTCGCAACAGGATCAAAACTGCTTGAAAGAAAGAGATGGAGAAAGCCCTGTGATTCTGTGATTCTGTGAAATGAACTCCAGGCTGCTGCCAGCAACACCAAACTGCACCTCCGTGAATGTCCAAGAACAAGAACAGACCTCACCATCAACAAAAAACAGATTACTTCATTTGGTACTGCAGGTGGCGTGCAAGTAAACATGTTAATAGAACCCCTCCAGGCATTTGGCTTCAGGGGGTTTCTAACTCTATTACACACATTAGACACAGGTTTAAAGGAACATGTGTTACAATCTCCCCAAAACTAGGTGGTTTAAAAAAACAAAAGAGTTTTAAAACAGAAACTGTCCAGAACATCCTTGCCTGCAGATTTTTTACACTTCTTATCTCTCTGCACAGGTGCTTATTACCTCTCACCTTCTGCTGATAAGTACATCCTGCTGTAGCAGATTGCTATTAAATCTTGGGGAGCTCTGGCTGATTCATAAAAGATCCTATTGAGTGTGCGTGCAAAGATAAGCACCGATGACTACAAGCACCTTCATCTGAGAACGTCAGCTCACCCACAATCCTCAACAAGATTTTCTTCTGGTGTCCAAGTTACGACTTATCTCTCTCACCAACAGGGACACTGTTAGTGACCTCTGCAGCTTCACTTTTTCTTCCCTGTCATTCAGTTCAACTTAGAAAAAACTAATGCTGTGTGTTCAGTCAGATTTAGGTCAGCCTGCATTACATTCCCATTTACTTGCTGCTGCACATCACAGATCCACTGTGTGAGATGCCATATGAAGTGCTGCACTGTAGCTCTTACACGGCACACTCTGTTTCCTTTCTACCTGTCAGCATCCTGAATGCACTTCAAGCAGTTTTCCCACCACACATTCCATTTTATTTCTTGAATATTTGCTTTGATAGAAGTTCAGCAATCATTAGGAGAGGAGGAAATGAACTAAAAGAGACCGGTCAAAATCCTGTTTTAAAACAATGGGATTTCAGGAGAAGAAATCCACACTCAACTAAATAAATAACCTGGAAAAATTGTTTTGAAGACTGAATTTTGTTCACTTTATTTTCTACTCCTTTCAAACTATGAAACTCAGCACTGTCCCACGCCTTAATATGTGACAGGACATTGAATGAATGCATCAAAGATGCATAAATGGATGATGAAAATCCCACTGGTGTCCATATGGCCCACTCCTCTTTTCAGCTCATGACAGAAAGGTTAGCTCAAGTGCAGAACATGCTTTCATGTTGATGTCTTAAATTAGATTTATTATGTTAGTGTTCAAAAACATAACATACTACTACAGAATCACAAGGTACCCAAATCCAAGCAGACAAAGGCTAAACCATGGAATGGCAAATACAAATTAATATTAGAGCTTCTTGCAGATACTGCTCTGTGCTCCAAGCGAGCCATAAGGACTGCATTTCTAACCCCCAGCTGTTCAAAAACACCACTGCACAATACACAGCAGTGTGGTACCCTGAGTACAGCGAGGCATACATTATGTCAGCCTTTTGTTGGGCTGCTGTTAATTAACCAACTTGTTTGGTAGCAGCTGAGAGAACAGAAGCACAAGGACAAAGCAAAACTTTTTGTACAGCTGTTTCCCACCTATCGGGATGGATGAAATCTGAGAGTAGAGATCCAGCATGCGATTGCCATCCACATCCACGAGGTAGTTCCCTCGGCTCTCTTCGTAGTTGCAGAAGAAGTGCACAGCTTCAGCATTCTGAAAGAAAAAAAGCAACAAGCAATGAAAGCTTTAAGTAGCAGCAGCGTGGAAGAAGCAACAGCAAAATCTGATAAAGATAAAAAATATAAAGACACATTATATCCATTCCATGGGAATTAACTGCAAAGCTATTTTTAAAAAGAGGAACTGTTAAGAATCGCCTGTTCTATGGAAAAAATGGAGGCAGAAAAATGCCCATTTCTAACAGCTGTCAGTCAGCTAATAGGCAATGACTGACCGACTCCGAGTGAACAGAAGGACTCTGCCAGTCCTCAGTGAGGAGGAGGCAGTTCCAGATCTGAGAACTTTCAGGCTGAGAACTCTCGGGCTTCTTTACTCAGTGAAGCCCCAGATGATGTCTGCAGTTACACAGAACACAAAGCCAGTATGAATCAGCAGCTGTTTGTAAAGGAGCTTAGAGGCAAGAATGTACTCTCTTTCACATAGATCAAGCACATGCGTTGAGGAATTGCTCATCCTGGGAAGGCAATTTGCACACAGGCTGGCACACTTCTAAGGCCAAATACTCCTGTGTTCTCAATGGGTGTGTGGTAACTCAAATGACACATACAGTGTTCCAGTGATTACAGACAAATCACTGATATTAGCAAAACAATTCTACAGTATTCGAAACAGAGTAGAAAAGATTTTATCCAATTGTATACATGCACCATGCATAATATACTTGGCATTCAAAGCCAAATTCCACATTTTTTTTTTTTTTTTTTTTTGCACAGAACTAAACACAAAACCAGATTTTGAACCAAGTTCTGGAATCATAGTATTGATATCTGTACTGAATTCAGAAAATGTGACCAATTACCTGAATGCCATTCAGCTGCTTCATTAATTCCTGCAGAAAACAAAACAAAATAGATCAGCCTCAGGAATGTAATTACTGAATGCTGACAATCATAGAATCATAGAATGGCCTGGGTTGAAAAGGACCACAATGATAATGTAGTTTCAACCCCCCTGCTATGTGCAGGGTTGCCAACCACCAGACCAGGCTGCCCAGAGCAACATCCAGCCTATAAGAACATGTTTCTTTTATATGACCACATAAACCATGTGCAAAGCTTGCAATCTCATCTGCTTACCAGGCAAGTGCACTTGCCACATGAACCTTCACAGTGCACGGGGCACAAATGACAGTTAAAACTATGGCACACTGAGCTGCATGGGCTGCATGCACAGCTTAACTGTGAGACTCCAAAAGGAAAAGCTGCCTCTGTACTGCTCAGCTGAATGGAGAAGAGACAAATCACACGTGTAGAAGGAATACTGGCACACTGGTTCTAGAAACACAGCTTTAAAAAAATAGAAACCAGTCTCTTAACATGCAGAATAACTGTGCCCATTGTATTTGTGCTCCATGCACAAATTCCTGTGCTGCAAAGGAGGCAGCACGCAAATTCTTGGAAGAAAATTATTTTGACACTGGGAGCATTTGTAAGTGCCCTTAGCTCTAATGCTTGTTCACTTTTCCTCTGCTGATTTAACAGCTTCTGTTCAAGCACAGACTGACAGAGGAGAACTGGCCAGCAAACTGAAACTTTGCATTGTTTTCAACACCAAAGCATTATTTTACATCACAAGAAGTCAGCTGAGTCGCCTTCACAAGTAACCAAAGCTGCACACCAAGCAGACAGACCTTCCAGCAAATGGGTGCTCTTTGGCTCTCAGTTACTTCAAATGAGAAGCTGACAGCTGAGTTGCAGAGAAATTCAGGTCTCTCTCAGAGAGGGGCAATGCAAGTCAGGGTTTCTCCCTTCCTGGCTTTTCACCGTCAGCACTTTGATAAAAGAGGCACAGACTGTTGCAGTGTGATTTTTATCCATATCAAAATTAAAGTTTGGAATAAGATTTGTTTTCTAATAAGTTAAATACTGCTAAAGAAAAAAAAATGCTATTCTCCAACTATGCTTTGAGAACTCACCCGAGATCGTGGTCCAGGAACTTCTGTCTTCATGAGAGGTCCATCATAATCAAAATCCACATCAATTTTGGCTGCAGCTTGACTGATATATCTATGTCCTGTAGGAGATAATGAAAACCTGAGTACAGACCATAATTTCTGTGTTCTCCTTCAGAATAAATATCCAAACCTTACCTGAGTGTGAACACTTGACAGATGAGACCAATTATGTCGTGCTGTCTGGAGGGAACCAAATACCTCATCTCTTTGACAAGCATGAAATAAAACTAATACCAGTGAGGTAGCTTTAAAAAAACCCCACAACAATAAAGTGAGACGACAGGGCAGCCCCAGAGAAACAGAGGCAAATTCTACTGTAAGGGATAGAGCCCACGTGCTTTCATTACAATGCCAAGCAAACAGAGCTGGGGATATCCATGGCACCAAGCAGATGCAGTTAGTAAATGCCAAGAACCACTTTGGTTCTGGTGGATCCCTCCTTGATACACGTACATTCCTTTAGGGGGTTTGGAGGATCACTGTGCATCTGCAACGAAGGAGGTATAGACTCAGGAGCTTCAGCCAGGTGCCCAGCAAGAGACCACGAGCATGGTGCATGCACTGTCACTAAGAGCTGAGCTGAAGCGATGTCCTTAACAGCCACATCTGTATCACAAAGCACCTGCAAGCCTTTAGCCAGGGCAGTATCAAAGACAAATTCATCTTAATAAGCTTCACTTAGGGGCATCACCTGTGCCCCAGGTCAATTCCTGAAGGATGAGGCACAGCCTTCAGTCCATGACAGGCAGGTTAACCCAGAGCGATTTGTGAAGGCCCTGCGAGGCCCTCGGCTCCATTCCACCAGCAGAAAGATGCGCCACACAAGCACAGTGGTTTGGAGAAAGTTTATCTGAAAAGTCACAGCCATTGGAAAGCATCCCTACTGTTCATCTGGGAAAAACTCGGGCTGCAAAGATAAATCTCCTCAGCCTTAATTCCATGTGCTGTATCCGAGGTGCGTCACTGCCTCTCCGCAAGCTATTAATAGGTTTCATTACAGCAACACCACTTCATTTTTGTGTCACTGTTTAGCTTTCATGTAAATTGGAGACTGCATGGCAACTGTTCCACCAGAAAAGAGAGCTACTGCAGATACATAGCCAATGAAGCTGCAGATAGAGCAGGCAGGCTGCAGAGACTCCAAGGGGAAAAGAGACCCAAGTGACCGACGTGCCCCCGGCTCCATCCGTGATGGGATACAGCAGCACACCAACACTGAATGCTGCTGCTTCTCCTGTATTAACCAGCATTTATTTTATAAATCTCAGCAAGCATCAGATAAATAAAAACCTAATGAGCTTCCAAGAAGTAATGCAGACCACCCTTCTGCTGGTGCTCTGGGCTGGTAACTTCTGCTCCACAGATTCTGAAAGAACTGCATAACAGATCCATTATAACGCTGCCCAGGAACGTGCCAAATAGCGCAGGGCTGAGAGGAAAGTAGCTTCACAGTAAGACAATTGTTTTATTGTTGCCCAGCATGACTTTTCCTGGTATTTCTGCTAAAGGTGTGGAAGTGTGTACCCTTACCAGACCTGCAATGACTACAACACACACCTGCACCTGTCACACCAGCACCACGCAGCAGGCAGTCGAGAGACCACACGCTCCTCTTACAGCTGTGCTCCTCCTTGAAATTCACATTGCACTACAACTTACATGTCAACCAGCCCTCAGATGTTTGATGCTACGCTGCTGAGCCAACGGGCCAACTCAACCCACTGACCTTCTGCTGAGCTCTGTGATCAAAGTGCAGTGGAGGAACGGTTCCTCCTGTTCTATTAACTTCGTGTATGAATGGGACCAAATGATGTGACTGCAGCACTCATCTTAAAAATGTGAAGAGGTAAAGAGCTCCAGCAGGGTATCTGTCTCTGAAGAAGCATTAGTAATGTTTTTTAATTACATGTAGCTAATATGAGGCAGCACAGCAAACAGAGCACCTCCTGACATCAAATCGAAAGTCAGAAAATAAATGATGGACCTAATTATCAGAGAGCACATCAGCTGAATGACTTGCAGAGGATTTTTGACCCACCTGGTTTATAGACAGTGGGTACAATAAATCAAATTTTGCTTTTCTTGCTTCTTGGAGGCTACTCAAAAGTCTGTGTCATGCATGATCTTTGTAAACACCAGAGCGTGTAACACCAGCAAATCATCACATCCTTCCTTTTCACACAGCAGGATGCCATCACTTGCTAGCAGACAGAAAAGCTCCTTCTTCAACTCCTGTTTTCTAAACTATCCTCATCACTCACCAGGTGTCTTGTGCAGCAGTTTTTAATAAAGAAACACATTGCTATAGCAACATAATTAACGTAAATACGCCCTTGCATCACTTTCTGATGTTAGTCACAAAGAGCACTGCTGTGAGCAGGTCTCAGTGTTAAGCAGCAATCTCTGCAAAGGAGAGGGAGGTTCACTACAGGTATAGCAAGTCCTTAGGCCTCCACTATGTCTGAGCAAAAATACTCTGATAAACACTGTTCCCGAGAGCACAACAACTGGGTATTACCTGAGAGAAACTCCAGAGGAGGCACCAAAATTATCTAAGTGTCATTAAGAGGAGGAACTACTCCCAAAGCAAAAAAATAGAAGACAGAAAAGAAATGCTGGCACATTTCTCACATGCAAATATTCTGCTGTGCTAAATCACAGAGTGAATGTCCCCCAGCCCCAGCAAGGGGCACTGCATGTGCCACAGCACACAAACATCCCATGTGTGTCTTTAACTTCTACCCCACGGTGTCTATCAAACTATCTTCCAGATAGAAATTTGAAGCATGGAGTCCCTGACGGCCAAAAGTAGGAGGACTGTGATTTCCTCCAAATCCTATTTTAGGTGCTGCGTGGAATCTGTTACTACCAACTCTTGAAATGGAATGGCAAAAGCCCAGGCTAGCTAGAGGTGTTTGGAAAGTGAACATAACTGTTGCATAATATTGTGAAAACTGAGACTGCTATTTACAGAGTGCTTACGCTGTAAGATCAGAGGCTGTTCCACATGAGATGGACTGTGTTTCAGTACTCTCACATGCACACTGGAAATTTTTAAGGGGAACAGGGCTCTCCAAAGACCAAGACAAAAACTGATATCAAACAGGCTGTGCAGAAGTGGAAGCTCCCATAATAAACAGTAAAAAGCTGCCTCCCCCCAACACAGCTGAATCTCAAATCGACTTTTTGGCAGAGTAATGTGAGCATCAAGCTGCTAGTTTTCTGGTATGTCTTCCAGATAGCTGTGATGGGGACAAATCAATAACAAATACTAGTATCTCTCAGTCTTCACCACAGCATGCCTGTGAGATAAAGTGACATCCTCTGTAGGGAGAGAGGAACCGGGCTGAGATATGAGAGGCAAAGCATCGGACAGTTAGTTCACACCAGGCCCTGCAGTAGAAGTGCAGAGATTCTGAAGAACATCTGGTCCTATGAGAACACACTGAAATGTAGATAGATAGATAACCTGAGACAAAAACACCAAGTGTTAAGGAAGGTTTCAAATACATAAAAGGCTTGCAAATTAAAAATAAGCATTTCAGCCTCCAGGTCCACCGAGGATAAGACAAAGAGTAAGGAGATGATTTTTTTCCTGTTTTGAAACCAAGGTTAAACATTAGAAAACAGCTTTAAATGTAAGGTCTGTTCAGCAATACAGCAGACTGCCTGGGGAAGCTGCAGAAGCCGTGGTACTGCGTGCCTTTAGGAACAGGTCAGCGCCCCTGGGGAACATGGGCATGCACTAATGCAAACTGATGCACCTTAAGGCAGAAGACTGACCTTTTGGTGTGCTGTGCAGTTCAGTATCCAAAGATGAATTCAATCCCTTAGGCTAATCAGTAGGAAACTGAACCTGGACCTTTAGAGTCCCAGTCTGTCCTCATAATTATGGTACAACCCCCTCAACTAACAACAGAATGCTGTTAGATTGCTGGCTGGAACTCATCAGGAAAATGACCTGAAGCTCAGATTTTTCTATAAGCGTGAGTCTCCTGCCTGTTCTATCATCCAGGAGCATCGCAGGATAAAAGACTGCCAGCAGTCAGCTCCTTCTAGTGAGGGCTTCTATTGCTGCTCAGTGTTTTCTAATCCCTGAAGACAGGCGCACACAGCAGCCTGCCCCACGTGCAGTGGTGCTGCCATGCCACCTGCCAACAAGACCCCACACTCTTTGCCAGAAGCCTGCTTTTAACAGGCTTTCCCACTTACAAGTTTTCTGAAAGCAAAGATGGACTAAAGGAGTCCAGAGCTGCAGTCCTTTTGTACTGAAGACCTACACCTCTTCAGTGCAACATTAAGAGAAGAGCCAGCCCTGTGTGCCCATCTGCACCCAAACCGCTCAAATGTTTTGCACAACTGCACACTGTGATCCTGGTTGGGAAGCACCATGGAACAATGCAAGACACTGGGAGGAACACAGGAATGTGGAGCACCCACACTGTGATGACAGATTAGCCCAAAGATGGCTCATGGAGGTCTGCTTGCTGCAAGCACTTTCCGTTTGCACTATTGACCAAACGATCACTGCTCTTGCACAGCTCAGATAATCAGTGCGTCACTCCCAGAAATAGAAGGGCAGCCAGTCCTGAAACACTGACCTGTGACTTTTCCAATAGTTGAAAGACCAAACTTGGTGCTCCTAACCAAAGGTCAGCTGCTCCTCCAAGTGTATAATTTAGAAGAAAACCAACTAAATCTAAGTTTCTGAGCAATGGAAGGGTTTTGTGTTCGGCACTGGCAAAAGGAGCACACAGGCACAGCAGGTAGGTGGGATGAGAGAAGAAACTTGGTCACACAAAAAGCCATTCAGCCATACTGCGCTCAGCACAGCAGCACATAAGCAGGATGTCAGACTTAAAGCTCTACGCTTTGTCCAAGAAGACCAATAGAAATCTGCACTTTTAAAGCATGAGCCAGAATCTTGAACACCTATTTCACAGAGATTGCAGGGGCTTGATACACACCCACACACGCTGAACTACAAACATTGGGCCAGGCAAGAACTTGTCATCACATACTTAGGAGAAAAGTGCCTGATGCTATGGGCTCAGTGTTTATTTTACAGCAGCTGAGTGCAGGCAGAAGCACACAGCCCAGCGAGGGCCCACTCTTTGTGCCCACCATGCAGAAATCAGCATGGTCACACTATGTAATGTGAACTGGAATAAGAGTGATTTTGATGGAAGGTATTTGCATCTCTGTACCACACAGGGCCAAAAAGTAGCCCTGTGGAGGCTGGAGAACTTTGTTTCAGTTAATAATTTGCATTGTAAACATGCTAAGTTAATGAGTTCTTCAGTTTGCAAACTTAAAAACCACAAAAAAAATCCCCAGCATCCCTGCAGGCCGCTGCTGTACAACTGCATTGTTATCCAAGATGCAGAATAGTGTCCTTCAAGTTTTGAAAGATGCACCACTGGACAAACCTCAGCAACGTTCAGTGGAATTTTCTCCACTAGCATAACCAAATACAAACCAAAAACCACAATGATCACTTACCAAATATGAGCAGCCTGGAGTTCTGCTGCAGACAACAGCTCAGCTGTCGACTAAGTAGCATTGATGCCATTTTGTATGTTCTTTACTCAAAAAGGCTCAATCTTGATGCTGATGTTCTGGAAAAAAAGAAAAAAAAGAAAAAAAAAAAAGAATGAAAACATTTATTCATGTCCCTACAGATGCAGCCACAGTGCCATTCATCTCAGCTTCTCCATTCAGTGTCATGACGGTGAGCTGAGCCCAATGCTAGGTCCTGTTCAGGCAAAGGACTCCTAGAGCAAATCTGTACCTCCCAACTTTAATTTAGCCAAGAAGTAAAAAGATCATTTATTTTCCCCTCTTCCCTTGCTCATCTACTTTCAGTGTGTATCTTAGATTATGTTAAACTTTCTTAAAAATTGTTTCCAGTCGCAGTTCCCCCAGGCTAAAAGCATTACTTAGATTCAACCTTAAGTTTATGAGAGTAACTTCATCTCAGTCAAGAAGACAGCAGGAGAAACATTAGGAAATAAAAAAGAAAACTCATCCTCTGAAGAAACCCAGCTTCTTCCAACCAGTGACATTTGTGAGAGCTGGGCTTGTTCAGAGCACAGCAGAGAAGGCTCAGGATGCACCCACCCTTGTGTGCAGAGACCTGACCAGGAGCAGGGCTGGCAGAACTGGCAGAACAAGACAAAGAACTCCTTGCCTGCGGAGATCTATTAAATCACAGATAACTTAGTACTCAGGTACAAAGAAAATCACCTGTGCCCTTCCAGACAACTGACACAGCACTTGGATTCTTGTAGCTTGCTCTGAGTTCAATTTTCATTTCAATATATTTTGAAATCCACCAAGGTGAACAAACACTTGCACAACGGTGCGCAGCTTAGAAAAAGCTGGGTCAGCTTTATTAGGTGTTGGGTCAGAGGTGTGGAAGGAATGGGATGCTTGGGCAGACAACAGGAACTCCTCCATAAAGCAGGGTGTATTTAACAGATTCCTTAGTGTTTTTGTGCTTAGCTTCTCTCTTCAGTTGTGCTAACCCGTGCATTATCAACGAGCAAAGAATGAGCCCCAAACATCACATTTCTTATTTCATTATCATTCCCCAAATGAAAACCATAGGTGAGTCTGAGCCAGTGAAACCACCACAGCAGAAAAAAGCCACCGAAGGGCCCATCAGCCCCATAGCTCTCACAATGATTAACCACCTCGACGTCCTCTGCTCAGAGCTATCTGCCTGCCCCATACTCTGGAAAGCGACTATTCCCTCTGTAACTTTGCTCTGTGAGATCTAAGTGCCCCCATGAGACTGATAAAAGCTAACCTGAGCACCCAGAGCAGCGTGAACGTACCAGGCAGAAAGCTCAACCTGCCATGAAAGCACCACGTCGTTCCAGCCCCCTTCATGGCCATCTCCCATGGGTGTTCTGCTACAAACTGACTCCCTGCTTTCTCAATCACGATGTCTCTTCCCATCAAAATCAAATGCAGACCCATTGGTGAGCAGGTTCCTTCCAGCAGCACCCGCTCCTCCTCTCCCAGCTGAATCATCTCCTTCATGCCTGCTCCCAAAATGCTGTTTTTTATCTTTCACTTCTATTTGCCTTTTATCTAAAGGCCTTTAGTGTTTGAGATACAATACTTACACAGGCTCAAAACAGCATTTTGGTATTGCCTTTCTGAAGCACTCACAAGAAAAGGTTATCGCAAGAGGTTTAAAAAAAATAAAGCAGCTCAGCCCTAATTTTCAGCGGCAGCTGTTACATAAAAAGTTTCACCATTTCCCAGTCCAGAGTCAGAATGAATCACGTAATATCACATCTGAGCATAACTAAATTCAACTTCTTTTCCATCTCCATTAAGCACATTAATTCTCACAAAAGATCAGCTGATACAACTGGTACATTTGCCTCAGCACACCTTATTTGATTATCGTAACAAGCAATTGATTTTTGCCTTCATAATCCATCTCTTGATCAACTCCCACTGGCCTTGCTTGCTCCAGCACCCCCAGCAGCAGAGGCAGAGTTTGGAAGCCAAAAGAAATCAGTGTGCGTACACAGCCAAGCTGCAGCACAGAGCTGCTCCATCGGCACCACATACAGTGGCAGCTGCTTTCAAATCCAGGCACAACAGAACCAGCAGTTTCAGACAGCAGACTGCAGATAGGGATGCAAAGGACAATGCTCAGATTGGCTGTGAGATGAAATGCTGGGCACCTCAGACTTCCAAGTGACACTTTTCCAGTGGAAAAAGGTTCACGGAAATCCCTGTATTATTTTTCCTCTGATAGCAACTGACTGAGCTGCACCAGGTTAGTGATGGCTGTGCACAGCAGCTGCTCAGAATGCATGTTAGAGGCATCCCTTCTGCAGATATCCTGTGCAGTACATACACATGCAGCGGCAAATACAGTTTAAGACACAATGTTGCATGCTTTTAGTATGAAACACGTTTACAGAGGAAGCTTGGAGCACATGAAACAAGAACACACAATTTTTTCATGCAAACTGGATGTGTTTTGTTTTGTTTTTTAAATCGCAGCTCCTAAAATTCTGTATTGTGTGATTATTTCTGACAGGCAAAAGGAGTTACCAGGACTGACAACAGTCGCTCAAGCAGCAGCTGAACTGCAGGCACATAAAGACAAACTGTCTCCACGGGTTAACAAGCAGTGGGGGGAACCTCTGGAAAAATCCTAGAAATTAGTGAGCGAGCCCAGTGCTCAGGGTGCTCAATCCAGACACCAAAATACAGAAAGTAGGACTCTGTACAACGCTCTCACTTGCTAGCAGGGAAGCTAATGCAGCATGTCATCCCTGCTTCAGACTGCAGCTTGCAAAATCTGTCTCCAAAACATCCTCAGCATAGATGCAAAAGCAAGAGACACTACATACAGACATTACAAAGCATGGATTAGAAGTCAGCACTGCAGGTTTGTGTCTCTGTCTTCCAGTTCATGCCAAAGACACAGAAGCCTGTTTTAAATTCATGGGGGCACCTTCAGCTGTCTCTCAGCTGCTCCAAACCCATTTAACCAGGAACAATTAGGTGGTTTAGAAACAGCAGCACAAGCTGTACGCTGCAATTACCCCACAAAGTCTTCCCAATATGTATCTGAAGAGGGACAGGGAGGCAAAGACAAATTGATTCCTTCTTTGCTGTTTTCCTTCACGTGACTTTTCTAAAACACGCAGCACCGAAGGAATCATTGGGTTACATATTAATTGTTGTGAAATATAAGGCATCACAAACTATTTGCTAGTCTTGTTTGCCTGGATTCACCATTTTGTTGAAAATCAAGTGAGGCTTGCCTTCTTTTGAATCAAAAGGGAATTCCCTTGACTTTGCAGGACAGCAAGTCCAGCTACTGCTACAAAGACCCATGAGAGGATAGAGCATTAGAGTCCAGTCTTCTGTAGTACAGATCTCCTGTGAACTCATTTCTCCTTTTCTAACATCCATAACGCTCCCCATCTGCATATCAGGGTTCTTCAGGCAGCTTTTCTGGAAAAGAATCAGACTGAAATGTAATAGAGGCAAGCTGGAAAGCTTAGATAACAGGGTCAGGACAAGGGAACTAATAAGAAGGAATCATGGGCCCCATCACACAAGCTGGAACTGCTGTATGCTAACAGATGGGATAAGCAGTTTTGGGGTTGTTTCTTTTTTTTTTTAAAAGGAGAAAGGTGGGAAGGCTGAGAAAAAGGAGCTGGATAGGACTGCAGCTTCTGAGCTGAGAAGGGATGAGCTTCGTGCCACTGAGGATCTTTTTCTCTGTGACAGTGTGACAAGATAGAAGGAAAAATCTGCCTACCCCTCTGCAGTCTGCAGCTCACAGACTCCTAAAAATCCCCTGCTGCTCAGTTTTCAGTACTGTCACTAACTTCTGGCAGATACCATTCTGTGTATGGGTCCCACAAAAACCAAATGCTGCAGGGCACTCTCTTACAAGAACAACGAATCCAAGGCTGGTTGTTACATGGGGACAGCTCTCCTGGTTTCCAGCACTCATGAGCAGGCACCTTGCATGAGTTCAGTACTGCATCTCATGCACCTTACTCCTATACTCAGCTTAAGGACATCCCAGAGGATCTGAAGACAAATCTGCAAGTTCACAAAGAGTACGGCTGAGGTGGAAGACTGTGCAGTTTGGTCTGCCACCCTTTAAACATAATAAAGTCTTTCCTTAGCTCTGCATTTGAGGAAGAAAGGGCCAACCTACTGACAGTGCATATCTATGTGCAAAGATTCCACATATACAGTATTTGCTGTTTGAAAACTGCACTGCAATCACTGCTGTCCTGCAAGGGAAGGTCTGCTTCTTCCCAGAGATCAAAAAGGAACAAGCTGAAGGATTTCATGTTATCTGTATTACTGACAGTGTGGGGTGATGTGAGAAATCCTGACACACTGCTTCAGTCATTTTAACACAGTAACTAATAAGGTAAAAAATAAAGAAAAAATAAAGAAGCCTGCCAGCGTGCTGTTCTATTGAACTGTTGGTCCCAGAAGCAGAGCTGAGTTCAATAACACCTTTGGAGTAATGAAAGCCAGAGTGCATGCAGTGAAGTACAAGTCCTTCTACTTCAACAAGTTTTTCTCAGGACATATTTCATTCCATTTTTTTGCACTAGCTTGCAGCAGCATTTACAAGAGAGGTTTGCTAGACTATCACCAAGTATTCCTAGTGATAACTAGAGCTAAGGCTATCTGTAATCCTCATGCAAACAGGAAAAGTCCTCCTAAGAAGTAATTACATGAAAACTTACATCTAGTGTCCACGTAAGGCCAGCATTAGACCTTCTGTGCAGTGCTTATTTAGGCAAAGCACAGAACCGAGCTGAAACCCCAACTTCTGGAGGCGCAGCACGCAGTGAAGTGCTCATCCCACTCGCTCCTTGTGCAGCTTTGTCACCAATGGGCCCACAGCCCTGTCCTCCAAAGCCCAGCTCACACTGACACACAGCAGCCCAAGATGCCATCACCAAAATGACTTCTGCCAATGGCTGGCAAGTGTGGCCTTGCAGAGCACAGCCTGCCAAGGCAACTTCCAGAGCAGCACCCACCAACCAACCAAGGAGGTGATGTGCCAATGGATGTGTGCATCGACCACCAAAATGGGTGAATG